TTTTGAGACAGAGTCTCACTCTGTTGCCCAGGCTGGAGTGCAGTGACGCAATCTCGGCTCACTGCAACCTCTACTTCCCAGGTTCAAGTGATTCTCCTGCCTCAGCCTCCAGAGTAGCTGGAACTGCAGGCATGCACCACTACACCCAGCAAACTTTTGTATTTTTAGTAGAGACAGGGTTTCAGCATGTTGGCCAAACTGGTCTGAAACTCCTGACCTCAAGTGATCCACCCGCTTCAGCCTCCCAAAGTGCTGGGATTACAGGCGTGGGCCACCACACCTGGCAGAGCAGTAAATATTTGTATATGCCAAATACTGGGGGCCAAAGGGAAGGGCTTCTTTGCCACATCACACAGCTTGCACTTAGGGGTGGTAATGCTGACAATTCTATTTCATTTATTCAATCAGGAAATGAACTCCTCATACAGGCTATATTGAATAGTAATAATGGTCACCTGAAATTGTTAGTATTTGGCCTCCCCTGGAAGCCAAGATATCTGTATGAAAGACCCACACCTAAGAAGTAATACTGACAAATGTCAGACATTTGATTGGCACAGTATCTGAGGAGAGGGATTAGGGAAAGTTCTAAGAATCTATTACTCATCTATTCCATACAATCAAAATCCAAATCATAACTGTTAATGTCTTTGTAAATGAGTCAGACCTGCTGTGATTCAGAGACTTTTCATTTTATGTTGATTTCTAAGAATTGCAAAGTTTAAGCCTCCTTGACTTTTACAAGCGTAGAAACAGATGGGGTTTAAAGAAAGAACTCATTAACTGCCAAAAAAAAAAAAAAAAAAAAATCGAGAGCTTTAACATGACATGATTTTCTGCCTGAAGAGTTTAGTTCTGCTTGTTGTGGCACTAAAATGGCTCATGTGCATAAACTGTCCATCGTTCATTCTGGCTTCAGAGTCTGTGGTATGAAATCCTGGTACTGATTAAAATTCTTATGCTTAGAGTATGTACCACGTTAGTGCATTCATAATTAAAGGTCATGAACGATCACTGAGGGTGGTGGGCATGCTCAAGAATAGACGGTTGCTCCTTTGGAGGAAGGAGGGTTGCCTGGGGTACCCTGTCTGCCTCTCATATAACTTAGTCTCAGTGTCTGGAGGGATGGGGGCACCACTGTTTGCTCAACTGACCCTATGAGGGATTAGTCACCAGGAGATGAACTGTGGTGACCTCAGATCTTGACTCAGGACTCTTTCTTAGCAGCCAGGGTCCCCAGTCTCCTCTGTGAGGAGGACACAGTGGCCATGTCCTGGCCTCTCTGCTGCTGCTGGACACTTTCCTGAGGTTGCTGCCCCTCACAAAGGGGAGCAGCTGTGATGTCAGCAACCAGACTGAAGAGGGACTTACTAGGGAATGTTTCCAAGCCAACTGCTAACGCTCCCACCTATTATTTGAGAAGCAAGAAACCCAAAACAAGAAGACAGGCTTCAGAACTCTCATCAGGCTTGAGTAGGAAACGCCACACATGATCAGATAACAGACACCACACTGCTTTGGAGTCTATAAATTTATTGAGTAAAAACAAAATCAACGTCAGCCACATTATATTTGATTGGGTTCAAATTTGGCTGATGTCCAAATGCAGCAGAGAAGAACAGAGGGGAGGAAGGGATATGGTGTTGCTGACAAGGGGACAGTGAACAAAACAGTTTTCCTTTCATTGTAAAAGCAGGCATCGCACAACTGGTGTGAGTCAATTAACCAAGGCGGGGAGGGAACTCAATGTTTTAGAAGCAGAGGGAAACCCAAAGTAAGCAGAGACTTTCAAGAGAGGAGAGGGCCAGAACACTGAGAGAAAAAGCTGCAGCAGAGGCCGGCTGGAGAACAGTGGTCAGATCTGCTGGGTCACTTGGGGAACATGGTGACCACTTCATAGCCCTCAGGTGGTGTGACTCGCTCCCGGGCATGCTTCTCACAGTAGATTTGATCCTCCACAAAGAAATGGCCCTTCTGTTTCAGGTTGGTGCCACAGTCAGTGCACACGTAACACTCAGGGTGGCGGTGATGGTCCCGCAGCTTCACGAACACACCGCTACAGAAGCAAGGCAGGGAAGGGACTCCATCAGTGACAAGCACCTGCAGGTGGCACCCGAGCAGGTGGCACCATCCTTCCTGAGCAGGGGCCTGGGGCTTCTCCCAGAAACCAGGGCCTCCCAACTGGCCTCCAATCATAAGGGACTTGCTTCTCCTTCCCAGGGTCCAGAGACATTTTTCCAAAAACCCCTCCTACTTCAACAGGGCAGCCCTGATTTTTCTCATTTTACATGTTCATAACCTAAGGGCTCCACAGTGAAGGAAAACCTTCACAACCTGGCTCTGGGACACAGGAGTTTCCTGGCCTCTCTGCTGCATTTTTCTGGGACGGATTTGTCTCCTTCACAAGCAAAATGTGCAACATCCAGCACTTTCCACATTTTCATGGTTTACCCAACCTGCAGGGTCTACAAAGGCTGTGGGGAGCAGATACTCACACAATCCCAGTGCCACATTTGTCACACATAGGCAACTTCTGAGCATTTCCAATTGATGCAGCCACTTTAGTGACAGGAGCTTTAACACTTCTGAATCCTGAGGGCTTGTTGGGATCCCCTGAAATGAGGAAAACACACTCATTGGCCAGGAAGGGCAGAATTGCTTAAGTATCACTCAGCTCTTCAGAAGCAGTTAGAAATATATGTTCAAGCAAGGCCATGGGAACTGGAGTGACTCTGCTGTGTGATTCTGGGCAAGTTACTTAACCTCTCTGGTCCTCAGTTTATTTTTCTAAAAAGCAGGAGATTGACACCTGGCCAAAAAAAAAGCCCAAAAACCCAAGACAATCCTAAGCAAAAACAACAAAGCTAGAAGCATCACGCCACCCAACTTCAAACTATATTACAGGGCTACAGTAACCAAAACAACATGGTACTGGTAGAAGAATAGACACGTAGACCAATGGAACAGAATAGAGAACCCAGAAATGAGACCACACACCTACAACCATCTGATCTTTGACAAACCTGACAAAAAACAAGCAATGAGGAAAGGATTCCCTATTTAATAAATAGTGCTGGGAGACCTGGCTAACCATATGCAGAAAATTGAAACTAGATCCCTTCTTTACACCATATACAAAAATCAGCTCAAGATGGATTAAAGACTTAAATGTAAAGCCCAGAACTATAAAAACACTAGAAGAAAATCTAGGCAATACCATTCAGGACATGGGCATGAGCAAAGATTTCATGATGAAGACCCCAAAAGCAATTGTAACAAAAGCAAAAATTCACAAATGCGATCTAAACTAAAGAGCTTCTGCACAGCAAAAGAAACTATTATCAGAATGAAGAGACAACCTACAGAATGGGAGAAAATTTTTGCAATCTACCCATCTGACAAAGGTCTATTATCCAGCATCTACAAGGAACTTAAACAAATTTACAAGAAAAAAATAAGCCAGGCACAGTGGCTCATTTCTATAATCCCAACACTTTGGGAGGCCGAGGTGGGTGGATCACCTGAGGTCAGGAGTTTGAGAATAGCCTGGCCAACATAGTCAAACCCCCCCCACTAAAATTACAAAAATTAGCCAGGTGTGGTGGCATGCACCTATAGTTCCAGCTACTCAGGAGGCTGAGGCAAGAGAATCACTTGAACCCAGGGGATGGAGGTTGCAGTGGGCCAAGATTGTGCCACTGCACTCCAGCCTGGGTGACAGAGCAAGACTCTGTCTCAAAAAAAAAAAAAAAGGACAAAGAACATGAACAGAACCCCATTAAAAAATGGGCAAAGAACAGAACTTTTCAAAAGAAGACATACATGCAGCCAACAAACATGAAAAAAAGTTTGACATCACTGATCATTAGAGAAATACAAATCAAAACCACAATGAGATACCAACTCATGCCAGTCCGAATGGCTATTATTAAAAAGTCAAAAAACAACAGATGCTGGCAAGGTTGTGGAGAAAAAAAGAACGCTTTTACACTGTTGGTGGGGTGTAAATTAGTTCAAACACTGTGGAAGACGGTGTGGTGATTCCTCCAAGACCTAGAAGCACAAATACCATTCAACCCAGCAATCCCATTAATGGGTGTATACCTAAAGGAATGTAAATCATTCTATCATAAAGATATATGCCCTCTTATGTTCATCACAGCACCATTCACCATAGCAAAGACATGGAATCAACCTAAATTCCCATCAATGATAGACTGGATAAAGAAAATGTGGTACATATACACCAGGGAATACTATGCAGCCATAAAAAGGAACGAGATCTTGTCCTTTGCAGGGACATGGATGGAACTGGACGCCATTACCCTCAGCAAACTAACGCTGGAACACAAAACCAAATACCACATGTTCTCACTTGCAAGTGGGGGCTGAATGATGAGAACACATGGACACATGGTGGGGGGACAAGACACACTGGGGCCTGTCAGATGGTGGGGAGTGGGGGAGGGAAAGCATCTGGAAGAATGGCTGATGGATGCTGGGCTTAATATCTAGGTGATGGGATGATCTGTGGCAGCAAAGCATCATGCCACATCGTTACCTATGTAACAAACTTGCATATCCTGCACGTGTACCCCTGAACTTAAATGTTGGAAATTTAAAAATAAATAAAGTTTTTAAAAAAGAAAAGAAATCCACATCACAGAAAGAACAAAACCATCAGAGTACAGCATGCTACAGCAGCCAGATGACAATCATCTCCTACAGATCAGAGGAAGGAACCTTTCTGTAGACAGCCTGGTGCATGTAAAATAAGCCCCTAGTAGCTAGATGCTGAGCTGCCTAAGGCCCCGCTCATCACATCTTAGTTAACAAAGCCCTGTACCATGGTCGCTATTAATAATGGTAAAAATCACCTGCAGGCCTTGTTAACATACAGATTGCTGGGCCCCCCACCCCCAGAGTTTCTGATCCAGAAGGCCCAGGATGGGGCCTAAGACTTTGCATTTCCAACAAGTTCCCAGTTGCTGTTGATCCAAGAACCACTGAACAAGAGCAAAGAAACAGCTTCCTGTGCCAGGCAAGGGGATGAGGAGAGGGTCACCCCGTGACTGCAGTCACGCTGGGCAATCGTGGGGCTGACAGACAAGGGCCTTAGCTCTCCTGTCCTTTCAGAAAGAGTCCCTGTATGCTGACCAATACTTCCAAACCAAAAATTGAGACACATGTTCACACAATGGACATTTATTTTTTATTTTTACCGATTAGAGATAGCGTCTCACTATGTTGTGTCTCAAAGTCCTGCCCTCCAGCGATCCTCCCACCACAGCTTCTCCAGTAGCCGCTGCACCTGGCAACAAGGGGCATTTAGAATACATGGTTGACTGTATTTTGACCACAATTGCCCCGCCCCTCTCTTGCCATGCTTACCTCCTGTCAGTGGCTCCCTACTGGGGGCAATTGTGTCTCCTAGAGAGCAGTTTCGATTGTCACACTGAAAGGGGGTGCCACTGGCGTCCAGTGGGCAGAGGTCAGGGATGCTGCTGAACATCCCAAAATACACAGGGCAGCCCCACAACAAGGACTCATATGGCCCAAAATGTCAATAGCACCAAGGCTGAGAAACCCTGCTCTCAATGGAGTAGATTTCCCCATCCCCAGCCTTTGGCCAATGTGAGCACATATGAGCTTTGTACCGGCAAAAGCACTAAGGGCTCTAGTGTGGTTTGGCCCTGTCCCCATAGAGCTATTGCCTCTGCCATGAAAACAGCAAGCACCAGAGTGCCTCTCCCTTCCCGGGGCTTGAATGAGAGGACTCAGGGGGCCTGGTCCAGCCCTGCCAAGCCCAGCAGAGCCACAGTTGTCCGGCAGCCCTCAGAAATACAGGTTACCCACTGCTGACTAATACAATATGAGAGATGGTTTGGGGTACTTGGCTGGCTTATGGGGAACAACAAGAGGGTATATGTGAATGCAGCCTGAACTGTCAACAGCCCTATCATGGTGCCATGGCTCAGACTTAGGCTTCCCCTCTCAGAGCTGGGACTGTTCATCACTGGGAACCGATGCACACAGATGTCCACCTGGCAGCACATGAGATGGGGCAGACATTAGGAGGCTCCGTGGTTTTAAGTGGTGAGCTCTACAGATGGGTTTGGGGAAGACTCAGTTCTGCCCCACCAGCAGGTGCATACGGAGAAACCACCTTGGTACTTCTGTTCTTCCTGAGCCTAAGGCACCTTCTTGCCCTTCCCAAGCCTTCCTCCCTTCCTTTGGGAGGAGGCCAAAGCTCCAATTTTATTCATCACATATTTTACCTGTATTTTTTTTTAATATTGCATTTAAATGTCATTTTTGTCTTGATTATTGAGTTTTCCAGTGCCCCCTTAAATTCTGCACTCAAGGCCGGGCACGCTGGCTCATGCCTGTAATCCCAGCACTTTGGAAGGCCAAGGCGGGCAGATCACTTGAGGTCAGGAGTTTGAGACCAGCCTGGTCAACATGGTGAAACCCTATCTCTACTAAAAATACAAAAACTAGCCAAGCATTGTGGCACATGCCTGTAGTCCCAGCTACTTGGGAGGCTGAGGCAGGAGAATGGCTTGAACCCAGGAGGCGGAGGTTGCGGTGAGCTGAGATCACGCCACTGAACTCCAACATGGGCGACAGAGCGGCCTAAAAAAACAAAAATTTATGCACTCAAAGCAGTGCCTCCCTCACCTCACGCTGATCCTGGCCCTGCCTAAAGGGATCTCAGAAGGGCCTGGGGGGCATCTTGTCTAAGAATCATGCCTCCAGCATCCCAAACGGATTCCCTCATTTTCTGGCTGATGAAGACATCCGGCTGCCTGCCCACGACAAGAAGAAAATGGCAGCATCTCTACATACCTAGGCAGTTTGCAAAGGCACTGATTGGGCTGAGAACCAGCTCAGTGATGTCAGGCTCTCTTATGCAATGCGTTTTTTCACATTTCACACTTAAAGACCTGGAATCCACTCAATCCACAGAAAAATCACCAGGAAAGAAGAGAGGCTGCAAAAGGGTAGAATGAGAAAAAGCCAGGAGGGACATGAAATCTCCACTTGGTGGGAGAATCCACATCTGTTTCTAGAATGAAGAGACTTGACCTGGATAAAACTGAGCACAGCTGGGGCGGAGAAGGCTGCCTGCCCAACACAAGATTCACTATGGCCTGTTCAGCCCTACAGCGCCACCTGCTGGCTTCAAGGTTTTTTTCTCTCACATATCCAGCCAGCACTGCTAATCCAAAGAAATCTCTCTTCCTTTCTTCTCAACCAGCTTACAGTGAAACTACTAGCTTCCTTTGAACTCCAGGCAACTACAAAAATTTCCAAATTTCTCTTCTTCCAGTGAACACTGTATCCCAAATATTTCTGGAAAAAAAAGTAAAAATTAGCTAAATCACAGCTGTTTTTCTATCCACTTCACTGGTCAACAACCTTGCATGGCTCCACACTGCCTTTAGAATCAAGTTCATGATTCTTAACCTTGCACCTGGTGGTCCCCCGTATCTAACTCGAGATCACCCAAGGATTCACCTGGAACCCTGGGCACCAGCCAAAACAAGCTTTGGTACTTGCTGAACAAGTCTCCAGCTTTCTCATCTCAGAGCCTCTGGCCACCACTGTTTTCTCAGCCTATGACTGCTCCTTCTAAACCTCCAATCATTAAAAGTCTCCTTCTATGGACACAGGAATGGATAAATAAAATGTAGTATACACAAACAATGGAATAATATTCTGCCTTAAAATGGAAAGAATTTCTGACACACGCTACATGGATGAACCTTGAGGATATTATGCTAAGTGAACTAAGCCAGGCCCAAAAGGACAACTACTGCATGACGCCACTTATATAAGAGATTTAGAGTAGTCAAACATAGAGACAAGTAGGAGGGTGGTTACCAGGAGTTGGGAAGAGGGAGGAATGGGGAGATACTCTTTAATGAGAACAGTTTCAGTGTTGCAAAATAAAAGAGTTCTATGGATGGATGGTGGTGATAATAGCACAATCACATAAATGTACTTAATACCACTGAATTGCACGCTTAAAATTTGTTAAGATGGTAAATTTTATGTTAAGTATATTTCACCATTTTTTTTTAATATAACAGCTTCTTCTGCCTGCAAGTTTTGGAATTTGATCCAGAACAAGATGAAGTTTGAGGAACCAAGAGCCCTTTCTCCTAGGGGCTGAATTTTACCCAAAATGAGACAGCCTGTGTTGGGTCTTCAAGGTTTACGACCAAATACTGCTGTAGCCAAGCTTCCTTCAGGGGCCTCACTCACTGTGCACCTGGCAGTTTACAGACGCGGCTTCACTTAACCCTGTAAACAATCCGGTGAGGTCCTGGCTATTAGCTTCATTGTAGCTGTGCAGAAACCAGAGCTTAGAAAGGCAGGCAACTTGCTGGAGGTGTCACAGCAGGTCAGAGGCAGATCCAGGATGCCAGTCCTCTTTCTGCCTTGCAGCACTGCGTTCTAAACCAGAGGCCTTTCTGAATAACAGGACCCCTCATCAACTACTTTTACTGCCTTAACCTTTCATCATTTTATCTCAAATAAAAACAGACATTTGGGGCCAGGTGCAGTGGCTCACATCTGTAATCCCAGCATTTTGGGCGGTCCAGGCGAGTGGATCACCTGAGGTCACAAGTTCAAGACCAGCCTGGCCAACATGAAGAAACCCCATCTCTACTAAAAATACAAAAATTATCTGGGCATGGTGGTGCACACCTGTAATCCCAGATACTTAGGAGGCTGAGGCAGGAGAATCACTGCAACCTGGCAAGCAGAGGTTGTAGTGAGCCGAGATCGTGCCACTGCACTCCAGCCTGGGCAACAGAGCAAGACTCTGTCTCAAACAAACAAACAACAACAACAAATAAAACAGGCATTTGGGTTCCTTCCCCCAAGAGACTTCTGCATGTAAAGAATGTTTAGAATGGAATTTATCCTGTTACAGTCAGTAAAGATTTAATGCAGGTACACATTAAAAGATATAGGAGAAACTACAAGATTTGCTATCTCCCTCTTCCCTTCCAGCAGAATCTTGATTCTCTTTGGGGCAAGAACCATCCAGACTAAGGGATAAAATTTTTTTAAAACGAATCCTAATTCCCAGACTCTCGTTTAACTAGGTGTAGCCAGGTGACTAAATCATGGTCAATAAAATTTAAATGGAAGAGTAGTGTGGAACTTCTAGGAAGGAGAAAGCTGGCTCATCTGAAATAGGGACTCCCGGTTAGCCTTATCTCCCTTCTTCCTCCCTGTCACCTGGAGGTAAGCATGATGGTTGGAACACCAGCTGCCAAGCAGGGCCACGAAGTAAACTTGGGAATGGAAGCCACAAATTTGGTTGCTGGCATGCAGGATAGAAGTCCAGATCTTGAAAAGCATGGAGCTTCCAAATCCATGCTCAGGTCCTTCTCTGTGAGTCCAGATGAGCCCTGCAGCATTTGTTTATTTGGGCATGGATGAACTTGCCCTTGCCTCTCATTAAAGGGTTTCACATCCACATAAGAGTGAAATAAGCTGTGGTTTCCCACATGTTTTAACAAAGCTGTCATCCTCAAGGGTTGGCCCCCAAGTTGTTTGTCAGGTGAAGCTAATACTGGAACTTGATACAAAGCATGGTTCACTACTTCCCAGCTGCTCAGCTACTCCAAGCAAAAGAGGAAAGCAGTGGTAGAACAGTATCATTTTAGCATAAAAGAAGCACATGCAAACACATGGCCCATGGTTTCCTGATTTCCTATGGTTGTAAATTGCCACCGTCTCTAAAGAAATCACACAAATGGGGAGGAAGCCCAGGTGTCGGGTGTGTTCAGAAGGGAACTTTCTTATCAGAAAGGGCTCCCCAGGAAGCTGAATCCTCAGCTGCGGACTTTGAGGGGGGAGGTTCATCTTCCAGAGGACACGAGCCTCTCAGCCAACATGCCAATCCCTTTGCAGCCCGGCTGAGGCAGGTCCCACACTCACAATCACAAGGTGTCCCCTCACTGGGGCATCCACTGTCTCTTTGCAGATGGGTCCATGAGAGAGAGAAAGAGGGCATAGAAAGCAAGACCCCACTGAAGTGCCCAAGCCTCAAGAAAGGAAGAGAGTGTGGAGGACTGGGCATCACAGGAACTAGGAAGGGTACAAAACCCAGCTCTCTGGAAAAGACAGCCCATGAGCATCACAGGAGGTGCTGATGAGGAACCACCCGGGAAGAAGCAGGTGTGAGGGCTGCTGATCCACAGTCACCTTTGTGAAGGGAATAAACCCTTCTTCAGTACATGCACCTGTCACAATTTTTCAACGTATAGCATTGTTATTAAGTGAAGATACTTTTACAGCTATCCACTTAAACATGATCATAGTAAGTATACGTTACATAATGTCTTCAGTGAGAAGCGTGTCTCCTGAGACCTGCAGAACCCTACGGGGTGACCCTGGGTGCCTCAGCATCAAAGCTCACCCCAAGGACAAGAAAGCGTCTTCATGACATGTCAAACATCACAATAACTATGAAGCGAGCACTCCGTTACAATGATGGATGTTTTACACAACTTATGCCATTTCATGACTATGATAATCTTAGAGGAAAGGATTTTTATCCCTGATGGACAGATGAGAAAACAGGCCTGGGAAGGTTCAGAGATTTGCCAAAGGTCACAAAGTAAGAACATGGCCACAAGGGGGTGCTCTCAGGCCCTCAAGAAGCCACCCACCCTAGAGCAAATGCAAACACAAGCCCCCAAGCAAAGCCAGCCCCTGGCTTCACTGAGCGCTAATGCATTCTCATTCTGCTGCTCATTGCCCATGGTCTTCATCACTCGCCTTCCTCAGCCACCACCAAGGTATTGCTTCTGGGCTCAAAGCAAATGAATGGCCAAGGGACAGACCAACAGGCTCCCACAGCAGTCAGGCTCTCCCCAACCTCAGCATCCTCTTGTACATATGACAGGACACAGTTGGCCAAGCCTGGAGTTTCTTAAATACAGACCCAGATGGGAAAATGTGGTCAGCACCCTCTCTTCCTCTCGCTATCTCTTTTAAAGAATTTCAGCATTTTAAAAGCCCATGCCCTCCAAAGCCGGCTCCAGAGTGTGTTCACCTGTGCTTCCGCAATGACCGACTCTCACATCTGACCTTCAACAAGAGCCTCTGACTGCAGATGGAGCTGATTACCTTTTTCTTCAGACTCCAGGATCTCCTGCAAAACCAAGAAAGACGTGGACTGTTTCGGAGGCTCATTCAACTCCTGTTTCTCCTGAAGCATCTTGTAAACTTCAGATTCTTTGTCGATGACAAGGCTGCTTGGAGGCTGAGCATGGTCTAAGCTGTAAAGAATGTTTGAAAAATTGATTAGGACATGACAGAAGCTAAAAATAACTTCACCAGGAACCTCCTCCAGGCAAAGACACTGCTGATTTGAAGGATGGATAGAAATGATCTCAAAGCCCTCTCCTAAATCAGCCACAGACCTGCTGCCAGCGCAGTGAAACTGAGATGTCTTTGTAGTCAGAGCTGGCTGCTGCTTCAATGCAATCAGAGGCTCTTCTTCTAAATAGCTTCAGTAGCTCAATTACTTTTGGGCCTAATCCCATGGAATGAGAATGCTCTCTCTCTTTATAAATTCCATCAACAGCATTATGTCCAGAGAAAATTTAGAAAAAAAAAAAAATGTCAACCACAGCCCGACCATGAAGAACTCAGCCAGGTCCCCCTTGTATGGGCCACAAACATTGCTTTCACGAGCAAGAATCACAGTGTTCTCCATTCCCGACGGTCTCACCGTGCTTTCCCTGTCTATAAATTCTTCCTAATTCTCAAGGCCAGGAGCTTGGATCTCCTCACCTATAACACAGAGGTAACAGTACTTTCCTTGCCTGGTTCACAGGCTGGTGGTAAGGATGGGACATGTAAGTGCTTTGTGAAGTGTTGATGTTCAGGCCCAGGGACTGGGCAAGCCAGGCCTTGTCGTCCTCACCTTCCTCCTGTCATTCTGGGTGACCCAGAACAGGACAAGACAGGCAGAGCCTGCCTCTTTCCCCCAGGGCTCCACTTTCTAAGTGGTGGCCGGTGACAGGATGGTAGTCTCTCATCAGCTATACCTGTAAATCTATCCTGCATCTGAGCCCTTCTCACCTCCCCCACTCCCCCAGGTCCAAGCCGTGCCATGCCTTACCAGCACAGCTGACAAGATGCGTGACTTGTCTCCTCACTGACGGCCCAAGGACAGTCTTATTTTTGACTAGAGGCCAGAGTGATGGCCTCTATTCAAAATATCAGAGCGATGTTTTTCATGCTTTTTAGAGACAGGGACTCACTCTATCACCCAGGCTGGAGTACAGTGGTGCAATCACAGATAACTGTAACCTCGAACTACTGGCCTCAATAGATAAATCCTCCTGCCTCAGCCTCCTGAGTGGCTAGGATTATAGGTGTGCCACCATCCACCGCTAATTTTGTCATTATTTTTGTAGAGACAGGGTCTTACTGTGTTGCCCAGGCTGGTCTCAAAGTCCTGGCCTCAAGTGATCCTCCAGCCTCAGACTCCCAAAGCGCTGGGATTACAGGCATGGGCCAGAGTGTCTGGCCCAGAGTGATATTTTAAACATGAATCAGACTATGTCATGCTGTGGCTCAATGTATTCTCATTTGACTTAGCACAAAATATTTAGTTTTAATACTAAAATATGTTTAATCAAAATAAACTTTTTGGGAGTAAATGTTATCACAGAGGAAAAAGTCCCTCATATATGTGTCCCACGCTTCTCCCTCCATACACATACCCTGCCAGCCCTGGCTCACTTTACTGAGACCAGGCTTCCTGCTGTGCCTGGGAAGCACTAGCTTCACAGCCTATGCACCTACTGCGCACTCAGCTTGCAATGCCCTTCCCAGGTGTTGTCATGGCTCCCATGCTTCATCCAGGTCTTTGCTCAAGTGCACTCCTCAGAGAGGCCTTCCTGACCCCGACTCCAAACAGTCCGCCACATCCCCACCATCACTCTTAAGTCCCTACCTGCTCTCTCCCCATGGATTCCACTTGCATTCCCTTATTTCTTTGTTGTCTGTCTCCCCCTGGAAAGTAAGCCCCAGGAGAGCAGGGACATGGCCTGTCTTGCTCCCCATCACACTCCCAGGCCTGGCTCAATGCCAGGCACAGGTCACAGTTCAGCAGGCATCAAGCAAGTGAATGTACACTGCAGAGTGGGTCCAGGGCCTCCTTCCTCCTTGCTGCGCTCCCCCTGTTCCTGTAGGCTCACAAAGTCCTCCAGGGCAGCCGGCCTCTGAGGGCTCTGCCAGGGACATGGGCAGCCCCACCTCCTGGCCCCAAATCACCTCCTTCCGCTCAGCCTGAGCTGCTAGGGAGGAAGGCTAGCGTGCCCAGTGGAACCAAAGAGCAAATATCAGATGGTGGGGCAATTTATTGATGCAGATGGATAGATTTGTATATAAACAAGTGGTGCTTCCTGAGTAATAAAGCCATAAAGTCTCCAGCCCACCAGGCTGCCTCCCAGCTTTACAGATGCAGGCAGTGGCCAAGAGTGGTTTTATCCAGCAACTCTAACCAGTCTCTCTTTAGGGTTGGAGTCACTGAATTATATCAATTACGCTTACTCATTTCCAGGGTATATGTTTGCCCTGGGTAATTCTCTGCAAGTTGCTTTTTCCTCTTCCTATCTCCCTCTCCTTTCTTCCTTTCTTTTTTCTGAGACAACCTCTGGGGCATGTTCAGTACTCAGGTCCACAGCTAAAGGCAGAGTCAATCACAGCAATCAAGATCCAGGTGTTTCCCTTCGACTCCAACCATGTTCTCACAATAAAGGAAAAGGCACCCAAAGAGTGACATATGCTTTGCGGCTGCCAAAGGTGGTCAGAATTTAAGTAGCAAGATTCATGGGTTGGTCACTCGGGCTGGCTGCATTTGGGGGAGGGAAAGCAGCTATCCCTGCCTGTCCTGCCCACTCCAGCTGCTCTCTGCTTGGCCTCTTCCCCCACCTGCAGGGACCTGTGGGTGCCTCCTAGGGCAGGCAATGGGGCCACCTGGGGGAGTTGTTTCAACCAAGGGTCTTTCTTTGTCTCACTTCCCAGCCCTTTCTTTGAGTTATATCCCTGACTCTTTTAGGAGTCCTGAGTTTGGAACTTGCCCCATAATAAGCATATTACATTATTTTTGGATAAATCTTTTTTCTATTACACTTAGGACTATTTTAAAATTGAGATCAGACTATGGAATGTTCTTGGGAAAGATTTTTCCTCTTCTTTGGTGTATGTTATGTCTGGAAGCCACCAACAGAACACACCGAAAAAATGACAGAACCCAGACCACAAGGCCATCAAATATTCTTCCAGCAAATCACCTTGTGAAGGATTTACATGATTTTTCTACTCCCACCTGTCAGTAATGAGTAATGATTAAAAAAAAATAACTTACCATTTTTCCCCAATAATGATAGTATCTTTACACCACTGGATAATTTATAAAAGACTTTCTATATCTATTACCTTACTTAAGGTATTGATACACCTGAATCAAAAATAACATCCTAAGATCCAAAGTCTAAGTCTTAGACACTAGACTACAAGGTATTGACATGTTACCACAATACCTTAAAAATGATGACAAAAATATGAAGGAGAAATGGAACAAAAAATTTCTCATTTTGATATTAATAACAGCAATGAGAGAAAGAATATTACAGTGATATGGCTTCAGAAAATATAACACACACCATTCAGTTTCCAGGAGAACAAGTTTTGAGGGTGGAACAGTGAAAATAAACACTTTCTTCTGAACCCACTCTGTACAGTTTTAATAACGAGTTTAAGGAAATTCAACTACTTTGGAGTAACAATACATTGCACAAAGTTTCCTAGTTCTTGTTTCTCCCTGGGAGCTGATGTGTATCAGCTTCCTAAATGTTGAATATTTTCTCCCACTATTTTAGGACCTGACCTGAGGGCCCCAGGGTTATTCTAGCCACGCCACTCCCATCCTTGCCAAATCAGGTGGCTGACAGAGCCAGGTGTAGGAGGATCCCAGTGGTCTTTAGAACATAAGAAGAAACTCCCCTTGAGCCCACCTCCCAGAGAAGGATTTTGGAGGCTGAGCCTGCAGACATTATGCAACTCTCACAGCTGCTCCAGCCAAAAGGGCAGCTGGGGTGAGGGTCAGAAGGACAAGGAGGATGGAAAGCAGTATGTCCATGGCTGTGGAGCATGGGTCAGCACAGCAACCCTGGGATGAAAGTCTACTCCATCAGAACCATGAAGTGCCCAAAGTGAGGATATAACGGGGCTTTTTTTTTTTAACTTGGGCTGTCATCTGTGGCAGCAACTTAATTATCTGTATATAAATCTCAGCTAGGCCAGGCACAGTGGCTCACGACTGTAATCCCAGAACTTTAGGAGGCCGAGGCCGGCGGATTGACTGAGCTCAGGAGTTTGAGACCAGCCTGGTCAACACGGTGAAACCCCATCTCTACTAAAATACAAAAAAAAACTAGCCGGGTGCTGTGGTGTGCGCCTGTAATCCCAGCTACTTGGGAGGCTGAGGCAGTAAAATCGCTTGAACCTAGGAGGCAGAGGTTGCTAAAACAAGACAGCCATAAGAAAAAAATCCTCACTGCTGATATAACCTTAGTAGGGTCATTTTCTCACATAGTAAGAACATTTTGATACTTTAATAAAACTACCTGTGAGACAAAGATTGGAATAGAAAGGGGGATTACATTAATTATTGAAAGCATCCAGACAGGAGAAGATGGTCTCCTCATAAAAATCTTCTTCCTGTCTGAGAAGATGAGGTAGATATATTTTTCCCTGTTTCACCCAGTACAACCAAAAACCCAGGGCATTACGTATAAAACAACATGAGAAGACTCTGACAGGGCAACAGAAGTCAGACTGGCTAGGGACCCCGCGTCCTGAGGACCATGATGGTGAGCTCCCACGGTGTTTTTGTTTCCTTGGACATCCCAGACATGGAGCCGAGGGCAGCAACCTGGAAAGGGCAATGGGCACAGACGGAAGTCTCAAGAGGAGCCTGCTGTCTCTGACCAAATGGCCAGAGAGGGGCAGCCCAGCAAAACACAATACGTTGAAACAACAACCACTATTCTCCAGCCAAATGCCAGAAAAGGCCAAGTGGGGAGTCCAGACTTCCAGTCTCACCAGGCTATGATGTGGTTCCCCAACTATCACTGGGATAGGCTCAGAGAAAGCCCAATAGGGAGTCCATATTTCATTCTTACCCAGCTGTAATAAGGAAAACCTAGGAGACAATCAGGACTCTCACCACTGCTCAGCAGTGTCTAGGCTACCACTCACC